TGTCCGGAAGAGCTCTGTATGAGTCAACAGCTTGCATTACAGTCATATTGTCAATAGCAGCACAGGCTCTCAAAACATTTGCAGCAACTTCAGCTCCTAGGGAGATATCTGCCTCCACCGTGGTAGATGAAAGGCTTGATCAAGTTCTGGAGCATGCCAAAACATCGGGTCTGGCAGAAATTTTATGCCTGTGCTTGGCAAAATCAGGCTCAAGTCTCATGTCAGGTTCCTCAAATTTGTTGCGAGCTGGTTGTGAAGCTTGTAGGGCTATTTGGTTACTAGTAAATGCATTTGAATTTCTTTCCTGCAAAGATAATGCTCGCCCATTTCCTCTCTACTCATTGCGAAGCCATTCTCTATTTCAACTTGACATTTCGGGCTGTGGCCAAGGTTCTTTGTCAGAAACTGATTTAGCAGCAATTGTTGATGGAGTGACAAAAGCATTTATAAGATCCAAAGCAATACAGATTGCTATGTACTATTGTCTTCATCAACGTGTTGAGCCTACTTTGAGTGCTGCTGTTCAGGTGCTTATCTTGCTCAGTCTTGAGATTTCATTTCTCATACTTTTTTGCATGTAGAGATTTTTGACATTTTCCCATGTCTAGATGCATTTTTTTCAGGGGTCCTTTTAACTCTTTTGACAACTTTCACGTTTTGGATATATTCATTAGCATCAGATATAAGTGTTTTTGACATTCTATGTTGGAGTATAGTTTATTGTGGCAAAGCACTTAACAAACTCTACTCTCATTTTCTTCTGGTAAAAATTTATCATCCAAGAGCATTCATGTGCCATTTTGGTTTGGAGTTGTTGTATTTGACTCGGTGCTATTTCCAACTATATGACACAAGCTTGGCAGAGAATGCGTAGCCTTATTGCTAGTACAGTTTAAAGGTTGTCATTCTTTGTGGTTTTTATGGTTAATGTGCACAATGTAATTGGACTACATTGATGAAGGGCATGTAACTTAAGCCAGTGGAAGCAACATTTTCTTTTAAAATCAATGTCTATGTGATTCCATTCAATTTAATGGAAACAAATTTATATATACAATTTTGTCACTTAAGCCAGTGGAAGCAACATTTTCTTTTAAAATCAACGTCTATGTGATTCCATTCAATTTAATGGAAACAAATTTATATATACAATTTTGTCAATCAGTTAACCATTAAATCGTGGAGTTGCTGTCTTCTGGTCCTTAAAGTATCAATCTACTTAAGTAAATTTTTGTCCTGTACTTGTATATGTTTGATCTCATTCTTATCATGTGCAATCTGTACTTTTGACGTCAGCTCATCCTGAGGTTTTGCTTGACTAGTGGTACTGTTGCCAGTATTCTCTGTGGCCTGCCTACTTCTCTTCCTGTTACCACAGTTGTAAATGGGGGAGGAGATGGTACTATTGTTTCACAAATCTTCTCCATACTATCTTTTTGTTCTTCCTCAACCAAAGAAACACATGGAGGAGAAGCAGTTGAATTGAAATCAAAAGCAACTGATCCATACAACCTGGTTCAGCATTGCTGCCTTGTCATTAGTACAGTTGCACAAATCTTGAAGTTATCTGGACGAAATTGTGCGCTCTTAATGCTTACATCCTCTTCAAAAAAGCAGTTTTCTCGGCTCTCTCTCCTTGCACAACATTTTTCTTCTGATGAAAGGATGCAGTCAACATTTCCACCTTCTCGTTCTTCCGCAATGCTAGCATTTGCTTCAATTCTAAGTCTCGAAAATGGAGTTTCTGTTGAATCCACTGTTGCTGAGATAGCTGTGCCTTTAGTCCCACGGACTGCTACACTATGTGATTATCTCAAGGTTTTGCCATGTGAAGATAGTGCAGTAAGATACAACGTAGTTAGTGGCATGCTCTCCTATTGGCATGGCCTCAGGGATGGATGTGTTGGTCTATTAGAGTCCAGATTGAAATGGGGAGGACCATTAGCTGTTCAACAACTGTGTGCTTGTGGTATTCCCCAGCTTCTAATGGATGTGTTGTCAAACAATTTGGCACATAGTTCTTCTCAAATATCAAGCTGTACAGAAGATCATATTGGTCTTTCACCTGTCGGAGTTGTCTGGACACTTTCCTTAGTATGTCAATGCCTTTCTGGTGGAGTATCAATTTTTCGCCAGATTTTGCTAAGGAAAGAACACATCAAGTTGACCTCCGATTTAATATCTGATGCACATCTCAAGCTTGTCAGGTGTTGGAATGGGCCTGGTGGCAGGAAGGATGGGGTGAGAGATCTGATAAATGCAGTAGTTGATCTCTTGGCTTTTCCTCTTGTCGCTATACAGAGTGCTCCTGGTCCAGCTGCTACTGCTTCAGTTAACAGTGGATTCCTTCTTAATGTCGGTTCCCCTGGCGGAAGAGTTTGTGCAGAAGACAAGGATATGGCGAAAGCAATAGAGGCAAATATGGGAAAGTATATTCAACTCCTCCTTGAGGTCAAGCTTATATCTTTCTCTCAAAATCTCTTTCCAAAAAATTGTCTTATTCTGTATTATATGATAGTGGTCTGTGAAATTATGAATATGGTAATTGTCATCTGTGTGAAAAATGTAGAAGTTGTTAAACCATTTCATTGAAATGTTTGTTATCAGCATCTGACAAATGATGCTCTTTACTGTTGCACTCTGATTGACATTGCCAATGTAGTGGTCTATGTTGAGTTTTTCTTAACAGGCTTGCTACATTGATGACAGATAGCAATTCCAGGAACTATATTACGGTGTTTGGAGCATATTGAATTGAAAGATGTGGCAAGGCCTGTTGCATTTCTTGCTAAAATGATAAGCCATCGACCTCTTGCAGTCCAACTTCTTGATTCGGGATTGCTGGATCCAAGTAGAATGAGAAGGTTGCTTGGTAGTTTGTGTCCCCGAGAAGTTACTTTGGATGTTCTCATGATTATATCAGATCTAGCTCGGATGGATAAGGTTATGCTCATTTGCATCCATATGGATCTTCTCCTAAATAGAGTAAAACTGCTATATTTGAAATTCATAGCAATTCGATCATAAGAAAACCTGTGCTTGTGGTACTGATAAGTTAGTTATGTTGTAGGAGTACAAACATAATGGATGTTATATGAAAACAAACAAATTGTCAATTACACTCCTCTTTGTATACAGGCTTTCTATCAGCATATTGATGGGGCTGACATTTTGGAGTTCTTGAAGGACTTTCTTACACATGAAGATCCTAACGTGCGTTCAAAGACATGTAGTGCTATAGGAAATATGTGTCGCCATAGCTCTTACTTCTACAGTTTACTGGTAATAGCACGTGTGACTTTTATTTCTATATTTTGTACCTACCATTATAAGAGAACTGCTTTTTCAATTTGTTTATGTTGAGTTATTATATTATTGACATATGAATGTATTTGGTTGTGTCTTGCAGGCAAAATATCATATTATTAATCTTTTAATTGATCGATGTGCTGATTCTGATAGGAGAGCACGAAAATTTGCATGCTTTGCTGTAAGATATTTTTACTTTACATTTTCTAGTTGCTGTGCTATCTAAATCTTTTAATTTGCCACTTTGTTGCTTGAGCAACTAAGTATATGCTGGTATGCTACCTCATGAATATGAAACCCAACTCCAGATTGGGAATGCAGCCTATCACAATGACTTGCTGTATGAAGAGTTGAGGAAGTCCATTCCACAGCTTTCAAATCTGTTGCTTTCATCTGAGGAAGATAAAACGAAGGCAAATGCTGCTGGTGCATTGAGCAATCTCGTGCGTAATTCTGACAAGCTTTGTGAAGATATAGTTTCCAACGGAGCAATGCAGGTTTTTCTCTGGACTTTGTTTGAAAAACCATTTATTGTCTTTTTGGAGGGAAATCTAAACCTTTGTCCTAAAATTTCATTAAGGTTTCTTACTTTCTTACTTTCTTTGTACTTTTGGTGTGTGACAATTGGATAACTTCTGATGCCAGTCAATACTAAAGTTTGTTATTACGCTAGTAATGGAACTAGCTTTGTTTCTGTTTTGTCTGCAGAAAGGTTTAGTGAAAGCCCCCGAATGGTGAAACCAAATTTGGTGAATATCACCTATCTACAAACACAATTTTATTTGTGTTCTGAAGGAAGTTTGGCTTTTGTTGTTTCAGGCATTACTGAAGCTGGTTGCTGACTGTGCCACGGTGGCTCTGAACCCCAGCAGGAGAGATGCTATAACGGAGTCGCCTTTAAAGATAGCCCTCTTCTCATTGGCCAAGATGTGTGCGCATCCTCCGTGCAGACAATTTCTTTGCTCATCCGAGCTATTTCCTGTGATCAAGCGGCTGCGGCAATCACCAGAATCAACAATCTCCAAATATGCTTCTGTCATTATCAGCCAAGCTGCAGAAGTTTCGAGTTAGCAATTCAGCTGCAAGGGCTGATCTCTCCAGTTGGTTGGAGGAGGAGGATACCAGTGCAATCAATGTAAATATTTGTAATGAATCCACACTGAAATCTCATGGAATAAGCAGCTTTCTTTGTTTTAATGCACTTTCAATTTGACGGAAACCAATGGCAATCACACATAATCAAATCCCCTGGCGTCCACACTGACTGGTTCTCTTTGTAGTGAAGCTAGCCGTCTATGTACTACTCTACACGTGCCCTGCGATGCATATACCATTCCCCCCGTCTGTAACTTTCTCCGTGTTTCTCTCCTGCATCATATGGGTCAAAGTTCCCAAGGTTTCTCACAATCGGCAATTCGAGAAATGCTTACCTAAACCAAAGATTTCCATTATTTCAAAAGGACCAACCAGACAACTACAAATTTGACATCGCCAACTAAACATTAAAATTGTACAGGTTTAGAGATTAATCAACGTGCCCTCTTCATCCCAATTTTACAAAACAAAAAAAAAAAAAAAAAAAAAAAAAGGAGGTTCCGGCCCTTACATTATGCGCGTAGTCATGGCTTCAGAAAGGCCAACCTAATGCACTCGTGACCACAAAGCTAAAACCACCACCACCCCCCCCCCCCCCCCCTCCAAAAAAAAAAACAGAGAACTGAGACTTGTGGTGGATGTCAGAGACTGGAAGATTCTGAATCACAAGTAGGTGTAGAATTTGTCTCTGATGATCTAACTATTTCTTCGAAGGTTTCCATGTCAATTGTCATATCCTCGTCAACCTCAGAAGCCTGAACTTCTGTCATTATTTCATCCTTGTCCCCTGCCAAAGGTTGGACACCATTTTGCGTGGATTCCAATTTAGCATTGGGCTCCTCATTTTCTCTTCCCCCTGTAGTCAATCTTGGGTCAGATGTTCCAGGACAGAGATCTGTAGAGATGGTCAACACAGATGTCACCAACAAATTCTGCATCAATCCAGAAAATTAGTTATATAGACAGATTGAACAGGTACAGCCAAACTGAATGTCTAATCCAATAAGATTGCATCGGGAAAGATGAGCTACATCAACATCTTAAGCTTATGACTAGAATGACCTCACTTAAATTAAATTTTCAATTTATGCTGTGAAAATTCACCTGCATCCTTTTGGGCTATAAACAGCTAATCTTGGCAACAAAAGTTAGAACAGTAAGCCTTTTGAGGCTCCAAAAATTAAAATCTTCCCATCCCACACATAAAAGTTTAAGTGAACAACCCATTTATAAGAGGTTGTCCTCCACACATTGCAGCGTATCCAGGTCACATGCATCCCAACTAACAAGAGTACGATTTCAGTGACACTGGACCTCAACTTTCAAGAGTACATGCGCATTAGGGTAATGACTAGCTATATGGAGTTCAATGATGTTCAAAAACCTGAGGAGAACCCCCAACAAGAAATTAGTAGCCAGAAAAAATATTAGGAAAAATATGGATTCCTACCTTTTCCAGGGCCAAGGCAAGCTTCGAAAGATTGGGATAAATGGTTCTTGCCGCCAACAAAATCTGCTAAGAATCAGATCTTTAGAAGACAGTTAAGAATAATAATCAACTTTTACAGTGGAATCAGATTAGGATTCAGAAATTAACATAGGACCTCGGATAACTTAGCAGCTACTGCGAAAGCTGATATTCAAAGTGAAAAGTTCAGGTCAAACACAAAACTTGCCAACCTACTTGTATAATAATTATAAAAACTGACTGAGAAAATATTTTATTAGGCTGAACAACAGTAACATACCATCAACAGTTATATTATTGCCTGTACCAAAAAGAATGTTGCTTGCTGAGGGCCTTCTAGTTACACTATATCGGCTAGGAAGAAAGTGTCTCCAATTGCTTAGAAACCAATATAAAACTTCTCCTTATTTCAAATTATCAAGTAATATTCACAACATGGAGAGAGGACTGATTGATTGGCACTTATAATCCTGCTGTCTCAACAGTCGATGACATCCACATATAAACATTGTATTTTGCTAGAGTAGAGACAAAATAGTACTTTCAGAACTTCCACAAAAAAATTTCAGGAAGAAGAAGCACAAAACATAGCAAAGCATGGCCAACTTTGATAGCAACACAGTAGAAATCTCACCAACAGAGAAATGTAAGAACAACGACAGATAAAAGGGTGGCAGAAGATGTATAAGATGACATGATTTTGATATGAAGCGCAAACTATTACCTCACAAACCCTCTGTAGTGTAAATGGAGGGCCCTCAACAAAGCTCTGAAGAGCTGCAAAACAGTATATTATCATGACATGAATACATGCTTCAAAAGGAAAGCATCACTCCAACATGATTTATGCCATCCGCTTATGCTCAAGTTTACCATTTAAAAGTCTCCATTCTCTACACACAAGAAAAATCAAGAACTAGAGAAATCAGATCCTAGAGGAGTGCAACGAATCAAATATCCTATATACTTTCAACAATACAAGTTCACAAAAAAGTAAGTGTTTTTTGCCCCACAAAAGTTACGTATGTTATGAAGTATATGTGCCCATGTTTGGGTATATCATAAAAGTTAGAACTGGCAAGAACTTAAGCAAGAAAGAAGCAAAAAGAAAAAAGGCATATGACTGTGGAAATACCATCATCCAACCTTTTCACCAACTCAAGGAAGGTCTCTCCCATTGAAGAAATTTGTTGCTCACTACTTAATTTTGCCTCTGGGTATTGAGATAGGACCTTCACAACAAATGCAAAAAACTTATCACAAATATTCTCTGGAGTGGAAAGGATGAGAAAAGCAAGAATAAAACCTAATAGCAAATCATTTCTAGCAACTTCCACACCTTAACGGCCAGGTTTAAGTGCCCATACCTGCTTGAGGTAGAAGGACAGCATACCCTTCAATTTGTCCCATTCATGCCTGCAATAGAAAAATGTCCAGATAAGATGCAGCAGCTCCCTTGGCACAATTTGAAATAGTCAATACACCATTATATGAATTAACTTGCAAAAACCAAGAAAAAGTATTGACTTCTAATGAATCCAAAGCTAGTAGCTAAAATGACAGCCAATATTGGCACTTAAGTAGAGGCATTCTACTAGCAATTGCCCCAAATGTGTTGGTGGCTTGCTGATTCTACGGTCATTTTAGACATAATATGATCCTAGTAGTTAGCTCCATCTTTCCAAAGGCAATGGCTTAGATTTGTTAGTACTATAAAAAGTTTGGCTAAGATATAGGGCACTTTGCATAATATATAAAAAGTTTGGCTAGAACAACAGATGCCGAAACAGTGAAAAGGATCAGAAAACAGTGAAAGAATGTGGCAATCCAATCATAGCCCAAACACAGTTTCTGGCACATGCTAATCTTGCAGCATCGGAGCGACATGGTCTTATACTGCATCTTCCACAAAAAATCAGACTAGATCAGACCGGAACACGGTACTGTTTCCATAATACAAGAACAGCATAACACTTGGAAAAGGTCAAAGCTCTTGCTAGTGATGTTTATGCATAATAAGATGATTTTCTATAATCATGTGATCATAATTAGTATATATTTCCAACAGCAGACATCATGAGCTAGACTAGATCAACAAAATTGAGTTATGCATTTGGCAGAGTAATACAATTAAAGAAATGGTTTTCAATTTGTCTGAGGACATACAAATGGAACAGAATCAATAAGCACAAAACAGACTAACTAAGCATACTGTTTAGCCTCATGTTCAGTTTTCCTATGCCTTCATTGGAGCTCAGGCGTTCACAGACCAAGAGGTTAGTTCACCTCTTTTTTTTTTTTTTTTTAATAATAACATAAACAACTGTGAGCAGCCCTAATATTTTGCATAAAGTCATCCATACATAACAAGAAACAAAGAAAAGACAGATCAGTGTTCCATCACAAGGAATGGCAAGCTTAATGAATATATTGACTCCTCTCAAGCCACAAAATTACTAATCTTAGAAGGCAAACCAGCTAAGCATAAGGAAGAACTCTTTAAGATCATCGACTACAACCACAAAATGGGACAAGAAAAGTACATACCAAAACTTCCCAGTGGCGGCAATTACTTCGAGAATGGGTCTTACTTGTTCTTCTGAAAACTCGTGCTGGGGCTTGATGCTATTAGATCAACAAAAGAGGAGAATGCTCACATGAAAATGGGGAAATACAAAAAAAGTATAGTGAAGATCAGAAATTTCAGTTGGACTTTTGTAACATTATTAAATATTAAGAAACAAGGAACTGGAAGCCCTTGCTATGAAGATGACGCTGACAAGCGTCATCGATTACAGCAAAAAAGAAAAAGAAAAAGAAAAGTAGGCTTCCCTGCCACCGTGAACGAAGCATGTTTTTCCACAGATTGTTTCAGACTGAATACCTCAAAATGGCCCCAGAAGGTGGCCCCTATTGGTATCTTCAGTCTCCAAGTTCCAATAGATACAAAGCATAATTTATGGAATCCAGCAATAGAATTTGCAATAGCAAGAAACATTATTTATACCCGTGATTTGGGAAATGAGAAACGGAAGTGCCGTGGTTCTGGTCTACCGCACGATTTGAATTCTGGGAGGTTTCACTTGCTTCTGCTGTTGGCTCCGCCATTGTGGATTTGGGGGCTTCCAAGAAGATGACCAAGTATGAAATTCTACCAAGTACCAACCCGCCGATGGCACTATTTAAAAAATATATATCGGGATTGAGATAGTAGTATTGCCTGAGAAAGCAAAGTAAGCGAGGAGGGAGGGGGATCAGATAGTGGCGACGGAGAAGAGTCCTCCCCACCCACCCCCACCAGCGTTGATTAATTAATTTTAGCGAGTGTTATCCCTCCCTGCAATGTTCTACACGCTTCGAATGGAGTGACCTTCCTTCTCTTTCTACCAAATACAAGAAGCAAATACTCTCTCGTCCGACCCGACTTTGACAGTCAGTCTCGTTTCCATTTTCATCTGTCCATTATAGTTATTTGATCACAAGGAAGTAAAAAAGAATTAAAACATGATGTTTATGAATGAGAAATAGCAATATAATAAAAAATGGAACAGAGAATGGCACAGGATGTGGGACAGAAGATCCGTTGCGATATTCCACCTTCTAATTAATTAAAGAAGAATAGTAAAGTCATCGTTTCCAACGGTAATTAATTTGATATATGTCTTGAATGGTGTAATATATCATCGTTTTTATCGTTAATGTTATTGTAATTAGTGTAAAGGTAATAACATTGATTAGTGATACTTTTAATATTAATATGAAGATAATTTAGAAAGTGTAAAGGTAAAACAATTAGAGATACTTCTAATAATATTAATATGAAGATAATTTAGAAAATGGTTTTTCTAATGGATACCGATCCGAGACTCGTTAATATATCTAAAATTTACGTAACCTATCATGTACTATGTACATACATTTATAATTATATACTCTCTCTTGCATTTATATACTTTTCCTATTCAATCTTACCTATCTTCTCCTGTATTTATTTACTTTATGTAATCAATCTTACTTGTTAAAATATATCTTAATGAGTATTTATTAGACATCCATTAAACAGACCTTTTTCAAAAAATATTAGGTTAGAATTACTTGTTTTTAACAAAAATTAACTAATTTTTTTTAAACTGTATTAGAAAAAATAAAATTATCAAAATGAGATTGATGGAGTATGAAATCGTGAAGTTACGAAATTGTCTAGAGGCATGCCCACTTGGAATTGTTCTTTTTTGGGGTGTTTTTCAAAACATTTAATGTAATAATGTATACGGAAAACTCTTATCGTAGATAATTAAGTGTTTTTGAGGGATGTATTTTCTATTTTGGGATATTTTCATATTTAAAGTTTTAATGATGCTTTTCTATATTTAAAAAAAAAAAAATTCACCACCACCGCCCCTCCCTTCCTCCACCTCCACTACTGGCTTCCTCTTCTTTGTGGTGGCCAATGCTAGTTGATGGCTGGTGGTGGTGTATGAAAAAAAAGACTGTGAGAATTTATTTTATTTTCTTTTTTATCTTAGTGCATTTAAATGTGTTTTTTAAAGTTATTTTTGGAGTTATTTTTTGGAGAACCTGTAGACTCTAAATACAAAAACAAGTATTTTAAAAATAATGGAATCCAAACCGAGTGCTTTTAAAAAACTTTACTTTAGCCGTATATGTGAAATTTTTTTATTTTAGACAATTCATTTGGATTCTCTATTTTTTTAAGTTGTATTTAGCAATTTTTTTAAAAAATTTGTTAAAATTTTTCTATCACCCGCGGCCGCTCACCACTGGCCACCACCACTTTCTTCTCTCTCTTTTTTTTTTTTTTGTCCTCTTCTCTCCCTATCTTTTCTCTCCTCTTGTTTCTCCTTCTCTTCTCTTCTCTTGTCTCTTTCATCCTCCTTCTCCTCGAACTGTGATCGCAGTTGAGTGAGAGGAGGAGGAGAGAGAGAAAGAAATGATAGAACAACAACAATTGATAGTGGCTACCAATAGTATGTGGAAAAAGGAAGAAATTTAGAGTTTAAGTTATTTTATTTTTGTACTGTATTTGAAATTGTATGCTTTTTGAATTGTTGTTGGAATTTATTACAATAGATTTCACAAATAAAAATAGTTTTTTTTTTTTTTAAAAAAATAGGACTTCTAAATAGAACCTAAAGTTTTGGGTGCATCGTGAATTTGGTAATATTTGGTATTATACACAATTTTCTTCTTTCAAAGTAGAAGATAAATGTGAAAATAAGAGCTTCAAAGTCTAAAGTTTAGAATGCATCATACATTTGGTAATATTTGATATTACACACATTTTCTTCTTTCAAATTAGATAATAAGTGAGAAAATAGGAACTCTACACGAGCTTGAACAAACTGATCAATATGGTTAACTTTGCAATGAATTTCAATTATTATATTAATAGCAAATTTAAGTCTTATTTTTTTGTATGGGACAGTAAGCCAATCAACAAGAATAATAATTATGTATGAATGCATGGAAATCATGATGTAAAATGTCAATGCAACTCAAAAATGTTTTAATCCATATAAAAATTTAAAATTTGTTGCAGATAAACAACAATTGCTTCAAATTTAACCAAAGTTTATTAGGTATTTTTTGGGGTTATGTATTTGAAGTTTTTGGTTTTTTACTAGCTATATGTACTACTAGTGTGTATTGTGCAAGTTCTCAGAGCTAATTATAACAAGTCCCCCTCTAATTCTCACTATACTCCCCAACTTTTAAAATTTTAAAGTTGTAAAACTTTTCAAGAATGTTTGTAAAACTGGAAATTTGCTGGCTCGTGTTTTAAGCAAAATTGTCTCTTGATCTGGAATGTAAAACTAAGTGTTTGGTGGGATGATTTCCCCACTTCATTGATCAATCAATGCTGCAACCTATGATTTGAATAAATGAAAACACGACAAGTAGTGATAGAGAACCGAAAAGAACCAATATATACTTGTATGGAAGAATATAAGAAATGGCATGGCGCTGGCGCTGCCGCTGCGGGTGATCGTCATCGATCGACCACCGTTAAGGGAACAAAAAAAAAAAAAAAGACATTTGCAGATGGATAGACATAAAATCGAAAGAGAACAACTATTTATTGATGGGCAAAACCAAGAAGGTTCCGTTCCGCCTATATTCTTCTTCTGAACTAAGGTCTAATAATCGAAAGAGTTTGTAACTGTAGTAATGCATGATGACAGAGAGGTCTGGAGGAGGAGGAGGAGGAGGAGGAGGAGGAGGAGGTGTGGTGCGTGCATTCAAATTTCAAGGACGACTATTCCAGCCGGTTCTCCGGTAGGGTTTGCAAGGCTAGTCGTCTCCCAGACTCAGACCCGGTGGGTGCCGCCTGTTGAATGACGAGGATGGATATATTATGAGTTGGTAGTCATCAATATTTTGCAAGCAAGAAAGAATGCAACATCTTGCAAGATTTCTTTTTTTATGTTACAAGTTCAACAACTCGTGTCGTCGTACCTTAGACTTAGAGGAGTCGTCGTCTTTAGTCATGCTCATTTTTTTGGTGATCTCCAGCTTCTCTTTTAACATTTTTGTCAGCTGCCTCAAACTTTGCTCGTCCAATGGTTTCTCCGCATTTTCCAAGCGAGTTTGCCTTTGTCCCTTCTTCTTCTCTTCTGCAGCAATCAATCTTGTCCCGCTGTTGTGGACGATCATGTTCTCCTTGTCGTCTGAAACTGGGGCGGCGGTCACCGTCACCTGTCTCGGCGTCTTCTTGGTCACGGATATCTTTAGCTGGGTAGCGGTGGTCTTACTTGGAGTTGCAGATTCTTCCATCATTGGTATGCTCGTCGTCAAACAACTGGTCTGAACCACATCGTTGCTTAAATTTTCCTCGGACACTTCTGTTATACAAGGCAGCACGGGGGCGCCCACCCCTGTACCAACAACATCGGCGGTGAGAAGCAGAGGAGCCGTTGAGTAGTAACAAAGAGGAGCGTCGTCATCAATTGCACGATCGTAATTCTTCAGCTCCTCCCGGGCACCGTCATCTGTAATATCAAGATTGGCAGCATTATAATCTAACATACACATACTTCTTCTGCATTCTTCTTCCGCTAGACAAGGTGGTTCCAATTCCAATTGAACATCCGCTGCAGCTTCTGCCCAGCTCATTTCAGATCCTAAACGAGCACAATTCTTGTACTCATCGAGGGCTGAGGCATCCAATTCCATAGCGACCAACTTTTCCGCCAAATCATCGGCAAAAGCGCTCAGCTCCGCCCCTGACTCCTGTGCAGCTGGTGTGGTGATGATGCCCACAGCTCGCTCACCACCAGATTCTAGAGCAGGATACAAACAATTTTCAAAAAAGCGAGGAAGCTAAGCAGTAATAACTAAACCAGAAGAAGAAAAAGAGTGTGCTTTCATAATTATCTCGTGTTTATAGTATTCGCAGTCAAACAACCCACCATTACTTTCTACCGCTCCGTCATTGATGTTCAAAGCGTCCAAATCATCTGATCTCAAGTCCTTTCCTTCATCCACCAGATTTTGAGCAGCATCATCTTCCGATTCCATTTCCTTTGCCACATTCAGCTTTTTCCCGTTCTCATTGTCAAACGATGCATTCGTTTTGTCCGATGAACCAAAATCCTTATTGGACTCCAACAACTCTTCTTCACTCTTCATTTTCAGATCAGCAACATCTTCAATGGTGCGAACATCATCTGATAAACAATCAAAGCAATGCCAATCATCATAAATCAAAGCAAGATCTAATGCTAATTGCGGGCAGATATGGGTGCATTGATTAGCTCATCAAGAATTCAAAGATGCAATTCAAGAAACTAGGCCTCGTTACCTGTATCAATGACTTGTGCAACATCTTCAGCAGCTACATCACTGCATCCCATCTCATCATTAATAATATCCAGTCCTTCCCCATTCTCGAATGCATCCTCGGTCTTGTTGCAGTAAAGTTCATTAGACCCTGTGTGGCAATAATTTTGACATCATGAGAAGGCAAAGTAAACAACACAACAACCAATCCGTGCAAAACTAGCGTACAAAGTTGCTCTCCATTTTTTTTTCTTCATTGCAGCGTGTGAAATTAATTTTATCTCTCTACCTCAAAAGGGAAAAAGAAAATCATATCTAAAGTGAGGACGTCAACTGGTTCAAAGATCTAGGAATAAATTGTCGCTTTTAAGTCAGGGAGATCACCATGATGTTATGCTATAATATGAATGTGTTCGGAACAGTAGATAAGACAGCACAATTCTTCTTACCATTGTCACATTCCACTGTCATCTTTGAATTACCAATTCCAGAAGTTTCAGCACCGTGTTCATCACATAGGATTGGAAAATCGTTCCGGCTCTCCGCAGAACAGCCTGATTTTGTACCCGAAAGAACCTCTGGTTCATAGCCGGTATCGAGCAATCCTAGTTCTGACTTTTCTTTCAAATCAACCCCTGCAACCGTAATCATTACTTATAGAAGGGTTGAAGCTTGCTGGTGCATACAAATAAATAGCAGTAGAAGAACCCCAATGATAAAATAACGGGGAATACCGGAAGGGCTTTTTGTGACTGGAAGAGACTCAGCAGCAGGGCATTCTTGAGGTTGTCGATTCATCTCCATAATTTCTCCAAATTCACTGGAGAGGAATTCTGTGGTTAGAGATTTAGATCCCTCTTTCACCTCCTTGCTAGCGACGAAATTCTCCCTGCGCTTTCCAGCCAACCTCGCGGATCTGCGAGTACTGCAAGTGTGTGTATTCTTGAGACCCCGTTGCCGGGTAGCTGGCACAATAGCCGGGGTTTCAGAAGTATGCTCCCCTTCCTTGACAATGTTATTATCATCCCCAGGGTGTTCCTCCCGTTCAATTTGATTAAAGTGGGGCTCCATTTTGCGGCACGCCGAAGCAGCCTTGGCTACGTTGCCAGGCGGGAGCGGAGTTTGGGGGACGTCTCCTCCGGCAGCAGCAACCGGCAGTCCTCTGGTTGAACGGCGACTCCTGGTGGAAGGGTGTAAAGTAGTTTCGGATTCATCTTCTTGGACCATCACGGTGGCCTTCCGGCGGGTGGTGGCGGTTCCTCTGGCAGCGGTGCGAGGAACGCTGAGGGATGCGGCTTGGGGTTTGGCTGGCGACTCGGTGGAAGATTCTGGAGGTTGTTGCAACGGTAGCTCTTCGACCCCTTGTACCTGTAATTAATAGAGAGAAAAACGATATCTAAAATGTAAAGATTATCCAAATTATAGGATATCCAACCAAAAAAAGGGGGGGGGGGAAGAAATTAGGGGGTTTGGGTTGGTGGTGGTGGTAAAGAATAGATTTGGAAAGAAAAAAAGGAAGAAGAAGAAGAAGAAAGGGCAGAGAGGGTGGGTAGAGCAGAGACAATGGGAAGAGCCTGGAGAGAAAGAGCCATAGCAAGATTGGTGAGGTTTGCGGGAATGTTGTTCTTCTTGCAGAGAGCCTGGAGTTGTCTCCTATTGAGGGTGTGGAAATCCATCATGTAATTCGCCGCCCTTTCTGTCCTGATCTTCGTCTTGTTTTGTTTGATTGATCCAAATGATTTTACGACCGGAAGAAGGAAGAAGAACAGCAGTTTTAATTGAATCACTAACTCCACCATTCACCGTTCAAAGCGGCGTCATCTCATCTCATTTTAATACAACCAGCCGGTAGTAGTAGAGCTGATGAGGAGGAAGGAGGACAATATGACCGTTGGAGCCATCCGGGACACTTCAAATTTCAAAAGTAGCAAACTCTCTGACGAGTTGGGCGCCGACCACCACGACGCTTATTCAATTTCAACAAGCCCTAGCCCCAGGCCCAGACCCATTCCCATTCACATTTGCACTCTAGGCCTCCAATTAAAACTTCTAGCTGACTGGGGAATAAAGACAGACATCAAAGGCAGGCCCAATTTGCTCAGAAGAAGGCCACTGAACATCCCCCGGCCCACCCCCATCATGCAGTACTGCCGCTACCCTTTGATATCTGGTCTCTCTCTCTCTATATCTATATATATAATTTTTTTACAAATATAAGGAGTAATTTAAATACATGTATTAGTATGATAGTTTTGCACAAAAGTACAATTTTACAAGATTATCCCTACCTCCCCTTATAGTGTAAAATGACAAAAATAACCTTCACGAATTGCTCAATTACACCTACTTCCCCCTATGGTGAAGTGAAGTAATGAAGTAATGTGCATCTAAAATTATAAGTTAACAAATCATTTAAAAAAAAAAAGATAGGAAGAGGCAAAGAAGAGAAAAATTACTAGATTCCTTAACCACCAAAATTATCTCAATCCAGTTTTACTTAATATCGTAATAACTTGAAAAAACAAATTCTGGATTCCTACAAAAATAGGTTACTTGCTCCATTGGTATTTTTTTTTCATTTGTCCATCCATATGAGGGAAGAGAAGCAATTTTGATGGGTTAGTTTTCTTAAAGTGTGTTGCAATAAGTTTAAAATTACAAAAAATATATATATATTTATTTCTATAGAGAAAAATTACCTAAGGGCAATATAGGATTATCAATAGTGAGCCCCAAACTATTTTCTTTTAAGGGAGGTTTATGTAATTGTCTAAACCTCAGTAAGAGGGTACTTCTCACAATCATCATAAACATCAGAGTAAAAGTTTGTGAAATTATTCGTCGCCTAATACGACATGAGCGCGTCTACTTTTGCTAAGGTGCGCAGCTGGGAAGGAGGCGCACCAAAGCCTTGGCGTTGTGCGGAAGAAAGATACAAGCGAGTCGCAAGCAGCACTACTCTCGAGTGGGGGGGGACTCGACTCATCCACAACTTCTCAATTCAGAGTGCGTCTTTCTTTCCAAATCGTAAATCAGTGAGTCAACCTTTGCCTCGGGGAGGACTCGGTACAATTATTCTTACTCTTACATTACAGAGAGAGAGAGAGAGAGAGGAGCACGTGCGGGCAATTTGTCGCGGTCAGAAAGAGAGAGAGAGAGCGCGTTGGTTGTGATCAATTGAAGCAAACACCAATTAAAATCGAACCAATCCTCTTCCTCCTCCTCCTCCTCCCCCTTCCGGTATGAAATCCCCCCAATTTTGAATGGAAAACCTAACCCTAGCCCCTAAAATTACCACCCCGTCCTCCTATCCATCCTCCAAATGCGGCCTTCTTCCTCTTCCCCATTCCCCAATTTACACTTTCTCCACCATCTTCTTTGCTTTCGCTGGGGGTTGACCTATTAAGTATTAACCTTCCTCCACCACCCGCCTCCATTTTTCCCCTCTCTCTCTCTCTCTCTCTCTCTCTCTCTCTCTCTCTCGGTTATAAGTTTATGGACAGACTATAGTGCTGCTTCTTACTCCTGTCTCCTTTGTACTTCTTCTTTCCTTCTGTATCTTTAATCTTTCTTTATTTGTCATTAGTAAGACGTAAAATTATACACAGACTGAGAGAGTGAGAGATAGAGAAAGAGAGAGATGTTGTAGAGTACAATTTAGTCATCAGAGCCTATTAGGATCAGTCAGTCGGGAGTGCTTCATAATATAGGATCAGTCAGTCAGGACTCCGTAGCGAAGTCTATAGTAAGTGTATAGTTTGTAATTAGAAAAAAAAAAAAAAACCAAATTTTTTTTTTAATTGCTGGTAATTGTAGTTCAGCTATAGATTGCATAAATACATAGATACATCTATAACTATTTACCATATAATCATTACTCGATTGAGCCAGCTCCAGCTACTTAAGCCTGGAGAGCAATGGGTAGCTCAGAAACAGGAGCCGGAGCTGATTGCAGCATTGGGAGTATAGTTTGGGTCCGAAGACGAAACGGGTCTTGGTGGCCCGGTAAAATACTCGGACCTGACGACCTATCGGCTTCTCATGTTATGTCTCCGCGATCTGGAACTCCTGTCAAACTTCTTGGCCGAGAAGACGCCAGTGTGTATGTTCTTGTTCTTCCTCTCCTCCCCACACCCCCACCCCCACCGCCCCAAAAAAAAAAAAAAAAACTTTTTCTACCTTAAAATGTTGTGTAAACTAACTTTTTCCAGTTTCACATTTTAATTTATACTAGTATTTCTTTTTATATGTCTATGAAACCCGAATTGCCTTTTTTTTTTTTAATTATTTTAGCTTTGGAAAAAGTTTTAGTTGCTTTTATTGATAGTTCGAACAAAATTGTTTCTCATCTGTATGTATGATGGTGTCCTTGCGCTCAAAAACTGGTGGAAAAGAAAAGCAAAACAATAAGAGCCCCGATTAGTTACACTTTTTCTCTAGAATATTCTAAATCCTGGTATGGATATTGTTTTTGCTTCTGCTGAAAAAATTCTTGATATAACGATGACCAAGTTTTGTAGGAGTTTGCTCTGGTACTGGTCTACTCCAGTCTAGGAGAATAGGTATTCTGCAGGAGCAAAAGCAAATCGTGAATAACAAAGCAAGCAAATTAACTTGCTGCACCCTAAAATTAATCTTGTATCTTATTCACGAACTGGATATTCCTACCTGTTCTGCTATTAGTGCTGCTGCCCCTCCCTCTTCTAAATTTTACCATCATCCAGATACTGGTTGAAGTTCTGTTTCCAGCTAAACATTAGTTGATTTCTTGGATTTTGTAATGTTTGTGCAGTTATATGTTACTTTTTTGTGAAAAGGATGAAAAAAAATTGCAGTTTGTGTGTTTTTCATATTTGTTTGGTATGATATACTTGGTGATGTTTACTGGCTGGGACAACTTTTACATAGCATTCTTTTCTTTTTTTTTTTTTTTTTTTGCAATGACCAGAGACTGGTATAATTTGGAGAAGTCAAAGCGTGTGAAGGCATTTCGATGTGGTGAGTTTGATGACTGTATTGAAAGGGCCGAAGCTTCCCAAGGTATGCCTCCAAAGAAGAGAGAGAAATATGCACGTAGAGAAGATGCAATACTTCATGCTCTTGAACTTGAGAGGCAAATGTTGGAGAAAAAATGTGGAAAAGTAGGTTCTTCTACTAATGATGAGGCACCATACTGTCTGAGGAAAGATTTGGTGACAACTTCAGAGAAATCAGAGACTGGAAAACAAAAAATTTTGCAACCAGAAACTGATCAAGTTTGTCAGAGTCATTGTCTATCTGCCAAGGATAAGGCTGTGAGCCAAACTATTTGTCTAGAGAGAGTCAAAGAAGAAAATCAAATAACTGTTGATGATGACAATTCTGCTGTGCCACCCAGGATGAGAGGTTTGCAGGACCTTGGTCTGCGTGCTGTGCCTTCTAATCTTAAGGCTTCTCCTTCATTGTTTCCAAATGGTTCTCACAAGCCTTTATTTGATAGCAGTGCTGTGGCTCATTGTAATGATGATGGTCTTGGCACAGAAGACATGGCTAATGCCGATTTTGAAAATTCATCTGACAAAAGAAAAAGGCTGTACGATGGTTTAGATGAGGACTCTCTTGCCAAGAGGCGTGAGAGGCGCCGTCCTCTTCTTCAAGTGCTGGAGGATAGTACAGAGGTACTTGTGCCTCATTCTAAGGCTGATGGTAGTTCTAATATTACCTCTATGTCCGAATATCAGAAGCCAGGGGGTACAATTGGTGTAACCAGGAACAGATACACTTGTTTGCAACCTACAGATTTGTGCAAAGAAGATAACATGCGGTCTGCAGAGGATACTGAAACTGATTCTTCGGAGACCGATTCTATGGATTCTGATACAGATGAGCTGGCTTCACTTTCAGGTCATATTTTGTGTTTTAGTATACTTGAGGCAGTCCAATTTTCAGTGTGCATCTAGTGCTGTTTATGCTTTTCATGGTGGTTAATTTGTTAGATGCTTGGATCTTGTATAATTAAGATCTTGCATCACCATGAATGTTATTTTGTTCTTTGTGTCCACTGTGCATGTAAAATGGTGCAAATTGTTGTGTTTACTTTTGTTTGCTAGCATATATTTGTGTCATTAGACTGCATTGTGCAATGTGCCACCATAAAGTTTAAAGCTTTTGCTCTGTTTTTTGGCTTCTTTTCTACTGTGTAACTTCTAGCATGCTTGTGCACAAGCTTGTTCATACATGATCATATAGCTACATGTATAGATGTGTTTGTATCTTGCAGTTTCCTTTTTTCCAGTGGTTCTCCCTTTCCTTAATGTGTTAAAATCAGAGGCTTGTGGTGAAACCACAATTGTTTGGTTCTAGTCCATTGCTATGTTAGGTTTTCTAAAGCTCCAATCAGTTCCTCTGCACTTGTTATCAATTTAGATAATATGATTTCTTCCTCTTCCTTGCTTGAGGCATTGCTGAAGCTGTAATGTTATCAGTCTCTTTTGTATTACCTCCTGGGAATCTGGCCTCTAAATGTAACTAGTTTCAGGGAGGGTAGTTGATGCCGATAAATTTTGATTCTTTTACAATTGTTCAGATCACTTGAAAAAAATGAATGATTCAACTCTGATTATGTGGAGTATAATACTTGCTCTTTGTAGTTGACTAGCTTAGCTGAATACGGTTTGGAACGGAATGATTGTTGTCGAATATGGTACTTGATAGTTGTATAGTTGTACATGATTTTTCCTTCCATGAAGGTCTTGAAACATTTTTGTGGGCTTATTACCTCCTGAGAAAAAATGAATGATTCAAGTCTGATTATGCCAAGTATAATACTTGCTCTTTGTAGTTGACTAGCTTAGCTGAATACAGTTTGGAACGGAATGATTGTTGTTGAATATGGTACTTGATAGTTGTAAATGATTTTTCCTGCCATGAAATTCTTGAAACATTTTCATGGGGTTATTTCCTGGGGTTATTCTTGCTTCTTGCTTTTAATTTGTTGCTTTGTGGATATTTATGTATCATCTGATGTCTTATGGCATTATAATCTTAATACATAGCTATTATCTATTGTATAATTTTTGCCTGTCTTCAATTTGAGTGTGTTAACAACCTTTCTCTTGGTTGCCTTTCTGAGGTAATGTACATGTTTCTTGTTGTCATTCTATTGCTTCTTTCCTAATGCAGAAGGTGCTGCATCTATTGAGTTGCAACCAAAATATCCTCGAAGATCTGAAGTACTAGCAGAAAGTAGAAGCGTAAGCAGTGAAGAACTAGATGACTTGGCACTTGGAGATGATTTAACTCATCCTTGTAGTATTGACCCTGCATTACATAGTACGGGCATGTCCAGATGGCAGCTTAAGGGAAAGAGGAGTCTGCTAAAAAGGCCCGTTGATGGAGCAGACAGAAATTTGTCCTGGGGATCCATTGAGGAAACAACACCTTTTGAATTGGAAACAAATGGCCGAGCTGAAAATTACTTGGTCGAGAAGAATTCTACGCATAAGATGGCTGGATATGGGTCTAGAGGTCCAGATGGTATAAGCCGCAGAACCATGCAGTGGCAGCACTGTGATTGGAATGACCAACAATACTGGGAGGACTCGGGCAAGTACTTTGCTCCCGTCTTTCTTGGTCATCACCATGATGGTAGCAGGGTTATGTTGATAGATGTCGATTTGAATGTCCAATCAAGCTATCAAAGACAGCATGTCAAATCAGGCAATCAAAGACAGCATGTCCCTATGATCTCATTGATGAGTAAGATAAATGGGCAGGCTATAGTAGGGTATCCCGTCCAAGTTGAAGCTCTAGAAAATGGATCATCTGAGTCTGTCCTTGCAGAAACTGATGATTGGGGTCCTGAAACACCAGGAAATGAAACAGCACTTCCACCAACATGGAGGACTGCTCGGAGGACAGCAAATTTTCGGGTCCCACGGCCAGATCTATCTTCAACATGTGATGAAAGTGCCAAGCATCTTCAATTTGTTGATGGAAGAAGAGGGTGCTCAGGGAAATCAGATGCAGGAACTTTTGGTCACAAGGGAGGCATAATGGAAAAGCACACAAGTAGCATTCCAGTAGATAGAAAATCCTCAAGGAAGCCATTAAAGAAAATAAGCCTATCTTCGAATCAAAAGATTAGAACACTTTCATCAATCGCCTCTCAACAGAAACAAAGTATTGATCGTAGACAGAGCAGCAATAATTTTCAAGTGGATGGGCTGAAACCAGAGTTGGTGTCCACAGCTGTAGCTTGTATTCCAGTTAAACTAGTGTTCAGTAGGTTACAAGAGGAGTTGGTTGGCCGCCATCCATGATAATGGTTTTGGAATTTCTCTATGGCAATGGAGATGGCAATACAGACAGCAATAGCTAATAGGTACATGTAAATTTTTAGGACATCAATAATCTCATACCCATATATGCAGCTATTTGTTGCTATATATATATATATATATTTTTTGGGAAATATAGGCCTCATATATTTGCCCTGTTTCTGCTGTCTTATTAAAGTTTCTGTAGCAGGCCTTGAACTACAGATTGACGCAAGATGTATGGTAAATGACATATATTAGGTGACTTTAGTTCAGGATGATGAGATGATACAGCTATTTTTACATGGTCTTTGTTGAAACAAGGTCGAAAGCTCGCCTGTACGAGTAGAACTCACAAAAGTATAGAAATGGTAATTCACGAGTATACATTATTGTATTTTCACTGCCAGGGTGAGGTTATTTTTGTTTTGATGTCTTTGGATTTCACTACAAAGTTATTTATTTTGTAGTTTTTCTGTTGTATAAACTGTGAAGCGATCTACTTGGCAGTGAAGCAATCTGGAAGGTCTTGCACGGTTGTGACGCAGTAGAACCGTTGAAGAGAGACGAAGGACGTAGCAATAGTCGAGCATGCAACTTTGACACATTCTAGAAATGACCTTGACTTGAGCCTTGACCACGGAAAGAAATGGTAACCTTTTGAGTTGATAGAACAAACAAAAGCTATGACAGGAACATGTCAACGAAAGTTCACTTTGCGCTGGTTAGAAAATTAAACAGGAAGACTTGAGTGAAAATCATCTTGAACATACCCAAGTTGAAAACTGTAGGGCTCTAAAAGTGAACTTTGATATGCTCCTGTTGTTTGCTCAGAGTTAACATTGGGGGGTAGGACCCGTAAAGGAAGAGTCTAAGGTAGAGAGAATAGGAACGAAAATGGGCAGGTAAAATTCTATATTTTATTCAAGTATTAGGTTATTTTCATATTACACGACTAAAAGGTTCTTGTTGGGTGGGTTTGATATTGATGAAAGCCTCAGATAACCTAACAAGGTTTGGTAAGAAATCTTTAAAAACTTGAATAATATTTGCAACTTGGAAAGTTCATTTTCTTGTTTTTCCCTTGTACCAGTACCCTTAATTAACAAAATGGTTGGGAGGAGGGGGATTGGGTAATTGGGATTTATATATGCTCTTCTCATATGATTTTTCACCATTTTTCAAAAATCCTAATTATCAATTGTTGAAAAATTGAGTTGGGAGATTGGTAAAAGGGGGATTTTACCGCCGTTAAAACAGAGGATGGAAGGGTGGAAGAGCAATAAAAAGAAAAGGATGAGAAGAGGAGGATAGCAGGAGAGATGAATTTTGTTTAACAATGATTTATGAATATCAAATTAAATAACATAGTAATATTATTAATCGAGAATAATAGGTTGCCAGCATTCATTAACGTAGTAATGCGATATGGTGAGCCATTAGTATAAAATAAATTTATTGTAACGGTGTAAGAAAGATTTACTCATAATATAATATGAAACGGAAAGAAATAGAGTAAATGCATGCCCAAGCCAACAAACCAAGCAAGTAAGCACTAGATCGGCAGTGGTAGCGTGGGCCGTAAATGAATCGAAGCCCACCTATTCTTGCTTAACAAAGCCTGGTTTAAAGATACAAAGCCGGCCGGAGATGAATGCAATTCCATTTCCTTAAATACCCCCCTGTATAGCTGTACCTGAATGAGTAGCGGAGGGCAAATGAGTCTGAAGGGTGAAATTACAACGGCTCTTTTTGTTGAACTTTGGTTGGTCCTCTCCTTCCCTTTGCTCTCCTCAGAGAAGGTAGCCGTTAGTTGCAGCATATAAACCAAAGGTCCAAAACTCCTCCACAATAAATAGCAGCAGCTATTCCTCCTCTCTCAAGTCTCAACAGTTCTAATTAATTTCTCTCTCTCCCTCCCTCCCTCCTTTTCAATACACGCATCTCTCTGGCTGGGGTTTTGGATCCGCCGCCAGCGCCTCCATTCCTGGACTCAAGTGCGAAGCCGTTTCCAGGATCCCAATCGTTTTTGTTTTTTTAACTACAAGTGATTAAGATTAGCAACTGTCCTTTGTTTTCCGTTTCTTTTGATTTTTTCATCTTTCTTTCTTAACTTTCGGAGTTTCTGTTTTGCAGGCCTTCTTCTTTTATCTTGTTTGCTTTCCTCTAATTCTTGTTTTCACTTTTACATACTCTGTTTCTATTTATTACGCAGCAGAATATTTTAGAGCAAGGCCACACGCTCACACACACTGTGACTAGTGACAGAAGAATACCGTAGGGACGGTCCCATTTTATTCTTCTTCTCCTTTCTTGTTTTTTTTTTGGGTAACATAATGGATGCAGGGGGATCCGTCAACTTGTCATCATCATTATCGTCCTCCGCCTCCTCCTCCGCCAGCAAGACCAGATCTCGCTTCCCTCTTCAGGAACACCACCTCCTCCAGAGGAGAACTTCCCGGGATAACGTAACTCATTGCTCGCTATACTGTTGCTTTTCTCCTTGTTTATCCTTTACTTTGTCATACACTTGTCTCTCTTCTGCTACCTAATTTATTTTTTTTTTTGTCAATTCATTTGTTCTACTCTCTATTAATTAGGCCCTTTTTCACCATGACTATCTTGTTATGAACTTTTTTTTTAACTATCATTACAAGTGTTGTGATTGACGTCTGATTATGCTTTTTTTGTGTGTGCGTGTGTGTGTGAAAAATACTTCCGGTGGGATTTTATTTAGCCTGTTGTTCTGAAGAGGCTGCAGTTTTGTTTTCCTTGATGATGTGTGTTTATCTGTTGAAAATTCAACCATCTTAAAAGCTTTTGTTTCTGTGACAGTTGGATAGGTTTATACCCAATCGATCTGCAATGGATTTCGACTATGCTCATTACATGCTCACAGAAGGCAGGAAAGGTAAGGAAAACCCAGCCGTGAGCTCGCCTTCTCGGGAGGCTTATCGGAAGCAGCTTGCGGAGACCTTCAACATGAACAGGACCAGGATCCTTGCTTTCAAGAACAAGCCACCTACCCCTGTCGACCCTATCCCTGCTGACTTCTCGACTGCTGCCAACAACTCCAAGCCCACCAAATCCCGTCGCTACATCCCCCAGGTTGGTATTTTACCCGTAACTTTGAGAATTGATTTCAGATTTCAGCTGTTGAGGAGTATTTCTTTTTAATTCCTCGAATAATTAATTGTTCTCTTCTCCTGCTGTGGTCTGTATTCGTTTTTTTACAGACTTCAGAAAGAACTCTGGATGCTCCTGATATTTTGGATGATTACTACTTGAATCTGCTAGACTGGGGCAGCAGCAATGTTCTTTCAATTGCCCTTGGAAGCACAGTGTATTTGTGGGATGCAACTGACGGAGCTACCTCAGAGCTCGTCACGGTTGATGAGGAAAATGGCCCCGTGACGAGTGTTAAGTGGGCTCCCGACGGACGCCACGTTGCTGTTGGTTTGAACAATTCTGATGTTCAGCTCTGGGACTCCACTTCTAATAGACTGGTCTGCTCCTTGTTCCCAAAGTTAAATTTTCGGGATACTGCTGCGTATTCTTCTAATTTGTGTATTAAACCATTCATTCCCTTTTCGCGCTGCTCTTGCTGCAGCTAAGAACCTTGAAAGGCGGCCATCGTTCGCGTGTCGGCGCACTTGATTGGAACAGTCACATTTTGACTACTGGAGGAATGGATGGACAAATAATTAACAATGATGTGAGAGTGAGAGCACACATAGTTGAAACTTATAGAGGACATCATCAAGAAGTTTGTGGCCTCAAGTGGTCGGCCTCCGGCCAGCAATTAGCCAGTGGCGGAAATGACAATCTCCTCCATATATGGGATAGATCCACGGCTTCTTCCAATGCACCCACACAATGGCTTCACAGGATTGAGGACCACACAGCTGCTGTCAAAGCTCTTGCTTGGTGTCCCTTTCAGGGTAACTTGCTGGCCTCAGGTGGAGGTGGTGGTGACAGGTCCATTAAGTTCTGGAACACCCACACTGGTGCCTGCCTGAATTCAGTTGACACAGGCTCTCAAGTTTGCGCTTTGCTGTGGAACAAGAACGAGCGCGAACTGCTTAGCTCTCACGGTTTTACTCAGAATCAGCTCACTCTGTGGAAATATCCTTCGATGGTGAAGATGGCAGAGCTTACTGGTCACACATCCAGAGTCCTTTTTATGGCTCAGGTCAGGTGCCTGGCTGCTACTTACTACTGATTAAGTAGTCTTTTTCCATCTGTTTGAAATTGTTTGTAACCTTTCCTAGGTGTGTTTGTTTGTTTATATTGCAGAGTCCCGATGGATGCACGGTTGCATCCGCAGCAGGCGATGAAACTCTCCGATTCTGGAATGTGTTTGGCACTCCTGAAGTGGCAAAACCTGCACCAAAGGCGAACACCGAGCCATTTGCTAACTTGAACCGCATTCGTTAAGTCGGCGTTGGTGTAAATAATGCCTAAGGGAATGATAGATTGATTATCAACTAGTACTATCTTTGTAATCTTCTCTCTTTTTTTTCTTTTGTATAGGGAAAAGGTTCTTTGCCATTTTTGCAGCTGATCTTAGGATACTAGAGAGAGCTATTGAAATTTTGAGCCATCTAATTTTTACCTGTGGATGTACTCACCGATTGTGACGAACCACAAAATACAATAATGTTTTTATCCTTGATTAATTTTTTTTTACTTTGTGATCTTTAGATGTGGGCAAAAAGAGTAAATTCCACTTTATCCCCTCAAACTATAAGCAGAATCTCCATTTCAATCTCTAAACTTCAAAATGAGACATTTAAATTCTTAAACTATAAAACATGTCCCGTCTTACTCCAATTTTTAACATAATGCACAAAACCTAACGAAATAGTTGCCAATTCTGTCAGTTATTATTAGGGCAAATTATCCAATTGACCCTTGAACTCTTTGTCTAGGTAAAAATAAGCCCCTCATCTATTTTTTGCTGACTTTAAACCCTCGAACATCTAAAATTGGGTATCCGTGACCCTTTTAGCCAGTTTCTCCGATTTTGCAACCGGAAGGCAATTCACACGAATGCCAGTGTGCTTTTTCAAAGGGCATTTTTATCCGCATGCAAAAAGGAACAACTTCTCTTTCTTCCCTCCATCTAATCTAACCCAACCGCTAATATTCAACAAACGAATTGCTGAGGGAAGAGAGAGAAGTTTGCAAAGAAACAAAACAAAGGAAGAAGGTAAGGAACAGAGCAGAATTTGCAAATATCTATCATACATCAAAATGCAAATTATCCCAGTAAAATCCATAAAATGGTATGAATGTTGGAGGGCGAGATCAGGATCACATATGGTGGCTAACAAGAGAAGGTTGTTTTCCCTTGATGCGGTTACCGCAATAGTCTCTGTCATGTCTAAGTCGTTGTAGTTGAGGCCAATGGGGAGTTACCAGTCAAAGTGGTAAGCAGAAGAGTAAAGGAAGCTCAACATTCGCTAAACCAAAAGAAATTTCAGGACAAATCATTTGGATAGAGAATTTGAGAATAGTGAAATTACTAAATGGTGGCTCTCTGGCCACTTGACGGGAATTGCATTCAAAATCGAGTCCAGGAGTCTATAATTGATCAATTTTTGCCTCTGAAAACTAGCAGCCGGTGGTGGCGGGACAATGCGTTGCCTCGACCATCTCTTCCGAGCTCATGAGGCTTTTATAGAAAAACTAGTTTTTTTGGCCTCGCGCTGTGCACAAGAGTGCCCAAGATCTACTTAAATCAACTTAAATCAAAAGTTAACCAAAGCATGTAATATTTAGCAAAACAACGGTTATAAACTCATCCAAATGGTTATGTAGTAGAAGTGCCTGTGTCTGTCAAAATCTCAAATCCAGTCAGCTGTGAGGCGTCCAGGGTTGAATTAAAGCAACCCACCAGTCCAACCCGGCGAGCAATTTAGGTCCCATGCCACCGCCTGACCTACTTCTACAGAGACACAAAAATAGAGAGGACTGTCTGCGAAATCTGACTTGAGCTAGAGAGAATCCTAGAGCTGAATTAGCATGGACAACCTTCCTATTCACAAGATCCAAATTTCTGGCCTTGCACTGGCCTCCCTACTCCTCCGTTTCTCCTCTTCCCCCAGGGCTATTCATGGCCTTCTCTTCGGCCACGTCACTGTCTCCGCCACCTCCTCTCTCTCCAACGATCCCACCTCCAATCTAGACCTTTCTTCCGCTGATGCCGACACTGGTACTGTAATTCTGCTTCTTACAGCCACTGTCACCTCCTTTCTCTCCCACTCCAACCCCTCCCGAATCCTAACCCACCTTTCTCCTCCTTCCTCGACTGGTTCTCCGCCCGTCGTAGAACCCTCTTCGCCCCTCCCTTAATGACTCCACCACCACGCACGCTCTCTCCTCCTCTACTTCCCTTTTTTTGTTTCTTTGCAGACTTCTCTCTCTTCTCTCTACAATTCGTTTGTTGAATAAGTTAGCGATTGAGTTAGATTAGATGGAGGGAAAAAGGAGGAGCCGTTCCTTTTTGTTTAGAAGATGCAGACAAAAATGCCCTTTGAAGAAGCACACTAACACTTGTATGAATTGGCCTTCCGATTGTAAAACCAGAGAAACTGGCTAAAAGGGTCATAGGTACCTAATTTTACAAGTTCGAGGGCTTAAAGTCAAAAAAAAATAGACGAGAGGTTTATTTTTACCTAGACAAAAAGTTCAAGGGCCAATTGGATAATTTGCCCTTATTATTATAATTAAAGTTAACCAAATCCAATAGGGACATAAGTGCAATTTCATGAAATCCAAAGCTTTTGATACGCTCCAAATTTTTAAAAATTATTCATTCACCTTCTTTCTCTTACTCCTCATCTCTCTCTTCATCTCAACCACACACCGCCCATGCCACCCACTACCACTGTTTGCCAGCAGAAGCTATGATCTTACCCTTGACTCACCGATTGTGACGAACCACAAAATACAATAATGTTTTTATCCTTGATTAATTTTTTTTACTTTGTAATGTTTAGATGTGGGCAGAAAGGGTAAATTCCACTTTGTCCCCTCAAACTATAAGCAGAATCCTCATTTTAATCCTTAAACTTCAAAATGGAACATGTAAATTCTTAAACTATAAAACATGTCCTGCTTTACTCCAATTTTTAACAGAATGCACAAATCCTAACGAAATAGTTGCCAATTCTACCACCGTTTGCCACCAGAAGCTCTAATCCTACCCTTGACTCAGCAGCCCTCCATTTGTTAATTCTTGTAACATAATCACAAAAAAAAAATTCTAAATACCAAAATCAAATCAATATCAACAAAAAATTTTACAACAAAAAAAAAAAAAGAAAGAAGAAATTCAAAGAACATGCTTGGTATGAACAATTCTGAAGGGTCTGACAGTTTTGGGGTCATTATTAACAAGCTACGAGGCTCAGGACATGCAACTCCGTTTGGACAACCCATAGCCATAGACAACAAAAAGGAAGAGTTGAAAAAGAATCTCCTCCAACTCCAACATAATTACACATTCTCAAACCCAATCTGAATCTCATCAAGACTATTTTCTGTTGCTAGTTTGGATATGAACACCCATTCATCTTTTTACTTTTAATCTATTATTCACAGATCCAAACCTATGTAAAAGAAAAACATATTCACGAATCCCACAAAAATTAGTCGTGCCTAGATCAAATGGAAATGGATTTAGGAGATGATATAAAAATTGAAAAAAATAATAACAATTAAATACTTTTATTAGCACAAAATAAAAGTGAAAAAATAATGGGTTTTAAAAGAGAGAGGGATAAGGGCGGAACTTGGTGGTGGGTCATGTAGTGGGAAGAGAAGAGAGCACTAGAGCAATGGAAGGCTAGGCTGATAGAGAAAGTATGGAACAAGATATTTTTGGTGGGGTGAATAAAGAAGAAGGGATAAGAAATTGGGTGGGGTGGCTATTCAAAGAGGAGATAGGAAACAAGTTATAGGTTGTGATAAGTATAAATGGTGATGTATTGGTATGTCAAACATTTTGTGATTTCTTACGTGATAAACATCATATTTTGGATTCATCACCGGGGAGAAAAATGAAGTAGTAAAGTGTGGCGGACGATGATGGCAGGCGAGAAGGAAGATGATGTGTAGCAGTGGTGGGTGTGCGGTAATGGAGGAAGAAGACAGTGAAGAAAGAAAGAAAAAAATAGAAAAGGAAATGAAAGAAAAATAGAAAAAAATGTGGAAAAATAAAAGAAAAGAAAAGTTTAAAAAAATGGCTTTTTGTTTAAAAAAGGGAAAAAACTTTAATCTTTAATTATTATTAATTAAAGAGATAAAATTATCTTTATCTCTCTGTCTCTTTGTTTTTTTTTTATATTGGGTCTCATGAAATTACATTTATATCCCTATTAGATTTGATTAAATTAAATTATAATTATAACCTAAATGAATTGGCAACTGTTCTATTAGATTTTATGCATTCCATCAAAATTTGGAGTACAGTGGGACAGATTATATAGTTTAAGGATTTAAATGTTCCATTTTAAAGTTTAGGGACTAAATGAGATTTTGGGCATAGTTTATGGGGACAAAATGGAATTTACTCGGCCAGAAATGAAGAGGTACCACAAATTGGGCCGTCCTTGCTCATTAATTTGTGCCAAAATGTCAAAAAGAGAGATTCAAGACACGTTCGCTTGTGGCTCACTTCTACAAAGTAAAAGATTGACTTTATTAACATGTCCAAAAAGTGAAAAGGAGAGTTGTGGCAAAAAAGGTCAACAACCCTTTCAAGACAAAGGGTTAATTACATTTACCTCCCCTGAGGTTTGACCATATTACCAATCAATCCTTGTAATTTGTCCAAATAACGGTCTCACCCTTTGAATGATCAAATATTTAACAAAAATCCCCTTAATGCCGAAAATGCCCTTATTGAGGCCATGTTGCATTAAAACAAGAACATATTTTTATTTTATTAACCCTGAAGCAATCCAAAAAAATAGAAAAAAGTTTTTATTTATTATTTTATAAAAATCATATCTTTGCTTCCATAAATAGTTTTGAATCAATAATTATTTTAAATCTTAAAAATTAGATAAATTGAAAGAAAAATAAAAAAGAAACAATTATTTTAATTCTTGAAATATGGTTCAAATTGAGGAAAATATGCCTTGTGCTCTCCGCAACATGTCTTGAACCACAAATTCGAACCATACTTGAGGATTTAAAATAATTGCACAATGACTCGTCGGACATCTCAGTTGGCTAAAAATTTTGAATTGTTGGTCTTTAAAAAAAAAAAGAAAAAAAAAAAGACGGAAACCAAAAGCTTGGGTTCTGTATCTCACCTCAGTCCTGAACAGACAGACAACGATGCTGAGATTACTTGAGCTTCATCACCTGATTATTATTGTACGGTATGGACGCATCTCTTTTTATGTTATGAACCTCGTTGACATCAAAACGGTGAAAGTAGCACCCGTTTGCACTTCTTAAAACGGTAGAAGCTAAAAGCAAAGTTGCAAATCATAATCCTCAAGTGCAGTCGGCAATCATGAGTTGAGAAGTTCTCAGAAAATGACATAGTGAAGTCGGCAATTTTTCCCATTAATAATGCAGAAACTACAGCTAAAAAAGCGGGAGACGAGAGATCGATTCGATTTTATACACAGGATTCTATCTTTGTACCAGCTTAGGCAGT